GGTCCCCGTTGTATCCGATAGAGCAGGTCATTGATCCGGTGAAGTACTAGGTAGGGCCCTTGCCAACCATGTCCTAGCTTCCGTCGTATCCCTGGTGGATACCAGTACCACACAAAGTCTCCATCTTTGAATCCTATTGGCTTTACGTTTTTATCATAGCCCTTCTTTTGTCGCTTTGCAGCTTTCTTCATGGCGCCTCTCGCAAAATCGTAAGCTTCCTCCATTACTTCTTGTATCCATCGTACGTATTCATTCTTTCCTCTCGTCTACCTATCCATTTTCGAACCCAAACCTGACAATTATGGGCCTTTCTTCGTCGAATACGCATTAAATCAGCATCGCCGTATATGCCAGATTTCCAATGTGATTTTTGTCTTTGTAAAACTTGCTGTCTTTCTGTTGCTTCGGAAAGTAGATAATTTGAATAAATTATGCACGATTGACGAGATTGGGGCTGGCGCGCGAGGGCATGGCGGGAAAGCTGTACCACGTGTACGCAGAGGAAGAAGGTTGAATCAGATTCTTTAGCGTACTCTACGAAGGTGCATTGTTGGGCGGGGCTTAACCCATTAGTTACCAATTTATTATAAGTAGTTACCAGCAGAATACCAGAAATTTTCAGGAATAACTGTAATTTCGTACATCAAACTTTAAATGCAAATAACTACACTAAGATTCTAATATCAATTATTACAACCACAATTTATTTTAAAGCTGAACCCTTTTAGAATACAATGAACACAAAATATTATAATTTTATGAAAGTTCACTTTGATCTTTTGGCACAGAAAGGTTGACATCACACGAGATTGTGGAATTCTTGATAACAGTTTCCAGCTTTGCAGAGATTCACTCGACAAAGCTGGCAGCCAAACGAAGACCTAACACAGCGGTTTCCAGTCGTTTTCCTTTTTGCCTTTACACAGGCCTGACAAGCCCGTTTTGCCTCTGAGAACTGGACCAGATCATGACCCGGGATTATATTTCTCTAAAGTGTCACAGCTACATTGCATGCTCCCTCCACACTTGCTCGCTTTCTGACACAGGTTTGTCCGGAGAGCTGATGTATCAGAGCTACTTTGAAGTTTTTCAAAGAGAACAATCTCTTGTTTTTTGGTAGCAGCCTGTTGCACAAACACTTCAGAATATAGGCGTTGATGATGCTGATATTCAAGAGCGCAAAGAAAAGGTGGCGCCACCATTTCTTTCCCGCACGCCCAACATTATAGTAACTCCGAAATTGATCTAGATGATCAACACCTCCCATACTGGCATTGTAATCTACAATCATGGTTGGAATGTCAATCATCTCGTCATGGCGGAATCTTGTCCTCGGCTTCTGGGTGTCTGACCCGTCATTGAATCATGAACACATGCCTCTCTTGTCTTTCGCTCATCGTGCTCACTATACCGGGTCATTTCCATTAGCTTTTTCAAACTCTGACCTCTCTCCAAACGCCATCAAGATGGGAAGTCCTCTACGATTTTTACTATTGTCCACAATAGTAGGTGTCAGCCTTTTTCAATCCTCAAACAAAGTTTATTGAACGAAACAGAAATGGTCTGCAATAACACATGTGACGCTTCATGGTGTTAACTTTCGACGAATCCATCACCACGTTATAGGCAAGTCGCTCTTTCTCTGGTGTTGCTTCTTCCTGCCAGTTATACTTCAAGTCTAAGCCAGTATCCAGTCTGGGCATCGACACAGGCACCATACTTTATCCCCTTGACATGTTTTTTTGCGTATGTACTGCTGTCCATGCCAAGGCGACCGTGAACTTGATCATGGCCCTCATCCACAGACAATGAATTTTCTGGAGTGTAGGAGCTCGGAAAGCTTCCTGAAGAGATGTGATGGAAGGGAACGTACTTTCGACAATTTATCATTTTTCATCATGCCTCACATTAGGGATCTGTGACATTGAAATTACCTTCACCAATTCCTATACCGCTTTATGAGGAATTCTTTGGTTCTTATTAAGCACAACCAAGTAGGGTCTGTTGACCAATCATCTTCGTAGCTGGCAATATTGTTGATGCCCATCATAATTGAATGGCTATAACAGATTCATTTCGGTTTTTCGGGTAGTATTCTTGCCATTTGTTTGCACCCTGGTAAGCTGCATAATTATTTGTTGAATTAGCTAAATCAACAAAAAAGCCATCTCCAAGTACAGCCATCAGAAAGTCTATCTCAGGCGCATCAAATGGTAAATTGCATTTAGGTCCAGCTGGCTCCTTGTACTCAGGGATAACTGGATGTGGCATGGTGTCAGTCCAGTCAGGGTCACCGACAGCTATAGCAGCACCTTGTCCATTTCCTCTTCCTCGGCCACGTCCTCGACCCCTTCGACGACCACGTCCTCGACCCCTTCCATGACCATGGCCACGACCACGACCAATTGGAGGATTCTCATCGGAAGAAGAATCAAGCTCACGCTGTGGCTGTGATGAATCACTGTCGTTACTATGGTCTGATGCATCATCACTTTCTTGGTCATTCTGTAAAAGCACAATGAATGAGAGAGTCAGAAATTGTTCTGTAAGCTCTAATAAACTGGTATCGACAATTGATGTGTTTAGAATAATTTGTATGAATTTATACTGTCACAATTTACAGAGAGAACAATATATAGAGAGGCCCGCTGATACACTGTTAAGTAGAACGGGGGACCATCTTCAGAGGATCATAATTTCTTTATTAGACTGTCCAACTCACTGTCCTTAGAGATCATGTATCTATGTAATGGGTAGTATAACCTCTCCAACTATGGCAGGTATATCTTCAATACTTTTTGAGATAGGATAGTTTGAAAATGGTGCCATGGGTCATATTTAGGATGCCGAAATCTGCGTACGGTACTATTTTCAAAAAATGGTTACCTCCTTAATATGTTAGTAAATCTCAGTTTAGTGGTATATTTATGATATATATATGATATGTATTAACTGTGATTAATTCCATAGTCCTTAATTAATTTATAAGCAAGATATAGTCTGCTGAAAATGTAATTTTATTCAATTTCACACTTTTCAGACGGCACAAAATAGTGTAGATATTCTAAGTAGATTTTCTAATAACATAATAAGTAGATTTTCTTAATAATTGACGGATTTAAAATTTTTTTATTTTAAATTGCTCCCATAACTGAATAATATAGAAAAAATGATTTAAATTTATTAGAAAGTATATTTTTGCCAATATTATTGTATTTGTTATATTTTGAAGAAAATGGACAAAATGATAAAAAGCCATTTTCAAAATGCAATAAAAAATTTTTTTACAGAACTAACAAGTCAAAATTTAATAATCTTGTAATTATACACATGTACTTGCATATAAACACAAACTAACCATGCAAGCATGCTTTGTCTGTACAAAAATGTATGTCGAAGATGGTTTATAGACCAATTTAACCATTTTGGCAAATCTGACGTACATACTCTGACATCGGCCATTTTTCTAGGGCACGCACTCGCCGAGGTAGTCGTTTTCAAAAGTTGTCATTTACCACAGACAAAAATGTATGTCGAAGATGGTTTATAGACCAATTTAACCATTTTGGCAAATCTGACGTACATACTCTGACATCGGCCATTTTTCTAGGTCACGCACTCGCCGAGGTAGTCGTTTTCAAAAGTTGTCATTTAACACAGACAAAAATGTATGTCGAAGATGGTTTATAGACCAATTTAACCATTTTGGCAAATCTGACGTACATACTCTGACATCGGCCATTTTTCTAGGTCACGCACTCGCCGAGGTAGTCGTTTTCAAAAGTTGTCATTTACCAAACGTGGGTTCATTTTACTATCTGTGGGTTAGACCTGCACACTGTTGTTGGCCGATTCAGTTCAGACACTAGATGAAACCATAACATGCTCGATAATAACACTCTATTGCCAAATATCACGTTCCCACAGATTGTACTACGTATCTTGAATACGACAAAGAGAGTTATCAGTAAAACTGGTATAAACCAATTCAAATCACATGCACGACCAATTAACTCCTTAGCGCCATGTCGAATTTACCTTCACCGCTAGTAAAAGTCTTCATTTCGACATTTGGCACGAATCGACACTTTACGACTACAGACGTTACTCATACTGATGTCCGGTAGCTTAACTACATTCTGAATGAGAAAATATGCATGCTAGATAGATATATGAGGAGCTTTCAACTTGGAACAACGTAAAATAGTTCGATTACTCGACGCAGCTTCACTCGCCAACGGTCAGAACAAGAAAGGCGGCAACACGAGAGAGCGTGGGCAATGTGCTTTTGCCGGAACTACCCGAGTACCGAAGGACAATTAGGATTCATTCCACCTCCCCAAAATACATTTGTATGTGCACAACCCCAAACGAACACAAACCATAGACTAAAATGGTTATCACACAATTAATTACATATTTCTAATAGCCTACGAACTTCGGCAGGCTAGTGCAATTAGGGGCCCACCGGGTTGTTATGGTCCAGTAACGCATCTGGCGTGACTAATGCACCGGTTTCATTTACACAATTGACACAATATACATGTCACGTGATATACAGATGTGTAGTTCTGAATATTGGCAGTCACTGCATAGACTTGGTCACTCACTGCGGATGTCGAAATTCTACAGCCAAAACTTGTATATTTTCTNGTGCGCGCGAGCTCGCGTGCGTGCGTACGTGCGTGCGTGTGATCCGGTGGGAGGGGCAGCATGGAGGCTCAGGTGCTGACCATACTGGATCCGCATGTGATCCATCACAGCGTGATGACGCAATGTTTCCACAAAACCTTGCGTCATGCACACGCGAGCATCCGCCGCTGAGAAGCGGACGGGCGGGCACTGCGTGCATGACGCACACAGTAAGCGGATTTGACATGCCCCCCCCCCTCCTCACACGTACACTCACTTAGTTGCGATACACAATGAAGCGTATTTTGAGACGGTGACGTGCATGCACGGCGTGCCAGGAGATGCCTAGCGCGCTACATAGACTGTATTACACGTTGCGCAACGCGGTTGTCTGTGCGATCATCTCGTCATCAAATCTACTAGCAAAAGCTGTTCATCGGGGAAACAAAAACGGTGTATGTAATACCATGAATGAATATTTCCGATATATGTTTAGATGTGTTCAGCGTACATATATCATAATAAATTTAATTAAGTGTAAGTGCATAGTATTCCATTCATTTTCGCATAAGTAATATATAGAGGATTAATTTTAACTTATATAAGTTATTATGATATAAATCTCATATTACAAATGGGCGCGTTACCTACGCTTACGAAACTTATTCAGTTTCTCTCGAAGGGAGCTGATTTATGAAATTAGGCTGAACTTCATATTGTTAGTTCATGTGTATACGCTACCGCTCCGCTTTCAATCTTTACTCATACGTATCCATATTTAAAACGATAGTTGTTATATATTCGTGATGCTACTGTATTCCTTCCGTAGCTTTAATTATAATTAATCGCCATTTTATGCTTCATTTGTCGATGACTATAGCTGGTTCGCGTGATACGTATATACACGTCGCGTGATTTTTACTCCTATTTTACACAATTTCAGATTTCCTGAGTCATTATGGTGATGTCACAAACCATGAGCGCCATCGGTGTAGAATCAGAAACGGCGACACTGACAGCTGGTGAAGCTGTGCGTGACAAAGATAGCGGTCACATAGTGCTATCGTCATCGTCGTCGTCGTCGTCGTCGTCGTCGGTGAATCAGCTTTCATTGACATCGTACATCAGCTTAAAATCGCCAATAGGTATGTCAACTTTGTAGTAGTGCAGTGTCTGAACAGCGAGAGATCAACGAACCTGTCAGGGGTGAAAATCTTTGTGTCCGACAGTAATCCCTGTGCGGCAAATCGTTGAATAAGTGGCAAGCACTGAAACATCGACTACGAAAATATCATGGGAGTTTTCTGTGTGCTGCACAAAAACATAATTGTCTTTTCCTCAGGCTTGTTTCTCGGGATGTTATTTCACATTCACACATTCGGTTATTGTGAAGCCTCAAGAAGAAACGTGTTCTCAAAAGTTCACAAAATAAAAAATTCACACCTCATTCTATATATTAGAATGATACTACTATATTTATATAATATATTATGTAAATTATATATATTACATATATATGTATTATATATATATAATACATTCTTTATAATACTAAATTAGAATATTAGAATAAGGTGTCAATATTTATTTGTATATATATATAT